TAAATGAAAGTTTATTTATTTATTTGGGAGTAATTACACCCTAGTGGAATATTGACAGAAAAATATTCTTTTGATTTAAATTTAATAAATGCAAATCTCACATCATTTATATAAAAAAATTTATTTATATATTATTTAGCTTGTATATAAATAAACAACAAAGTTTGAAATTAATGTAGGAGGGTTACATTGTGCCACCAAACCCAAAGGTGAAGGCCGTAACAAGTGACAAGCTACCAAAACCCATCATCTTCCACGATGGGCGCCTTGTCCAAAAGCCAACTCCTCTAATGGCACTCCTCACCATTCTTTGGATCCCCCTAGGCTTCCTTCTAGCTTGCCTCCGAATTGCCGCTGGGGCACTTCTCCCGATGCCCCTCGTTTACTATGCCTTCTGGGCACTCGGCGTTCGGGTCACCGTCAAGGGCAACCCACCACCTCCGGTCAACAAATCTTCTAGCCAATCCGGTGTCCTCTTCATTTGCTCCCATAGAACCCTTCTCGACCCTGTTTTCCTTTCCACCGCCCTCGGCCGCCCTATTCCTGCTGTCACGTACTCAGGTATTTTTTAATATTTTTTTTTACTTTAGAATCTAAAAAATTGGTGCCACCAATAATTGTTAAAAATAAATTGTTATGGACAAAATTTTGTTTTTAGTTTAAAATTACGTATTATCTTTATAGTTGTGGAACCTTGAAACATAACTTAAAGGACATGATTGGAATTTTTCAAATATAAAAATTAAAATCTTCTTTTAACAATTTTATTGATACATCAAAAAAAAATAATAATAATAAAGCTGTTTTGAATAGAGAAATTGCTTATTTTAACCAATTAACAAAGAGGAGAGGCTCCATAGTCCACAAATGTGGACTCAACTATCTAGTTCGTCTCGATGAGACCCACTACACAATCTATTTTGATAATAATTCGTTTATTTTGTAAGTCTCTACACGTGAATCGTTTATAAATAATAAAAAAATAAAAATTGATTGGATAATTGTAGTCAAATTTTGTTTTTCATGTTTTGTTTTCAAAAAAAATAGACATTAACACCTCATTTGGGAACATGTTAATTTAGTAATTTTTTGACTATTTAGTTAAAATATGAGCTAAAAAAACTAGTATGTTTGGGATGACTTTTTGACTTTTTTACGAAAAGATATGTAAAAAGTAGAGAGAAAAAAGAATTTTTGACTTTTTTGGTATGGATTGTTGACTTTTTGATTTTTTAGCAACTTTTTGATTTTTTAACTAAACCGGCCTGTTACAAACGAGGCCTAAGAATGATTTTGAAAACAAATGATCTATTTTTTAAAAAATAAATATAATAAAATGATATAACTACAATGATCATTTTTTATTTGATTTTTCATTAACAAATTACACAACAAAATGAACAATTAAATTACTGAAAATCTGGCCTATCCGAACTTGACTGGAAAGAAGCTCTAGTCATTAACCAATTAACCAAACAGACTTTTTAATTTAAGCTTTTTTTTTTTATTCAAAAATTAACTTATATAGAGACTGCCAAACAGTCTCTAGGCTTCCGAGATCATCTCCCCCATCAAGACCGTCCGGCTAACTCGAACCGTGCCACTGATGCCTCCATGATCAAGAAGCTTCTAGAAGACGGCGACCTAGCCATATGCCCGGAGGGAACCACTTGTCGTGACCATTTCTTCTTAGGTTCTCGGCATTGTTTGCAGAGTTGACCGACCAGCTCGTGCCGGTGGCAATGGTGAACAGGATGAGCATGTTCCATGGGACGACAGCAAGAGGGTGGAAAGGGATGGACCCTTTTTACTTCTCATGAACCCTAGCCCTGCTATGAAGTAACGTTCTTGAACAAGTTGCCAAAGGAGTTAACATGTAGTTCTGGGAAGACTAGTCATGAAGTGGCCAATTATATACAAAGGGTCATTGCAGCCACTCTGTCCTATGAGTGCACAACGTTTACTAGGAAGGATAAATATAGGGCACTTGCTGGGACTGATGGTACTGTGCCAGAGAGAACCTCAGATCAAAGCCAAGAAAATAATGGGATGCTAGTTTTTTTTTTTTTTTTTAATTTGAAGTTTGGTTAATTTCATGCATGTTTGAACTTCAATAGGAAGAAATTATAGTACTTTATGTAACAAAGGGAGAAGGATATATATTTGTCATTCAAACTTGTATGTTTGTAGGAATGAATCTGGAAATAAATGCAAATTTTATAAGGCTTTGTTTGTGTTAGCATTTGTGCCTTCAAAAACCAATGTATGACTTTATTAATTGATTATATAAATTGCTTAGCATTTTATATTTTGCATTTTGTATGTTATTATGGGTAATGTTATATTTAATGTTACATATGATGTGAACATAAAGTCCCTTGGGTAACATTGTAGAAAAACATGCTAATGGTTAATGAACCAAAAGCTGAGAGTTATGATTTTTTGGTGCCTTGTAGACCCAATTAATGTTCTTAGGCTATGGATGTTGATTGGGCGTCGCACTACTATGGCCTACACCTGTTTTGCTGCTATATGATAGAATGATTAACTCCATCATTTGAGGTAGTGACCTTAAGCAAATAGGTGGGTGTTATGCAATAAGTACATGCACTGAACAGAATCGGTTTTAAGAACACCTATGGAATGATCACTATCAGTTTAAAAGGTAATCATTACAATACACTTATTTTCCTTTGACCTGAGAGGCTTGTATAAATTAATTATCTATTCATTTAACTTTGACATTGTCAATCGGTGACGCCGAACCAAAGGCTATACAGGGACATGTTGGGTTATGTGAGTAGTAATTGATTTATATAGGTGCTTAACATGGAATCCACCATTCTCAAGTGAGAAAGTATATTCAAGCAATTTTTCCTATTAATATTGGACCAAAAGAAAACCGGCCGGTTACTTTTTCGTAAAAATATTTTATACATATATAATTGTAAAAATACTATTTTTGGAAAATGTTTTTAGGGTCCAATTAGAAGAAGAAAAATTTAGAATTCAGTTACATGAGTTAAGGCTTTTGATAGTGATACATTTGTCCATACCTAATAGCTCATGTGGAATATAGTTTGGTGGAAGGAAATTTGTGATTAATTGTAAGAAAGGGCCTCACTTGTAATTCTCTACTTTTAGGGGTTTAATTGTAATGTGTTGATGGACATTATTGCAATTAGTGGAAGTTCTATATTATCTGTTTAAAAGATTATTAATGAAAAATTGGATAAGTTGTATCCTGTATATTTAAAATAAAAGATACATATTTTATTTTATCCCCACAACTAAAAGATAGAGATCCCTAAGGATCCCACCTACATGCAAACTCTATTATGTGTTGTGTATATATATCAGATATATTTGATACAAAAATTGGCTATCAGAATTTTAAGGTCTGTAGAAAATATATACACAAAAATAAATCAAAGAGGGAGCAAGGTGAATCACTTTGGAGACGAGACACTTGGATCGCTTGGTGAGGTATTATCAACAACTCACTTGGAGAAGGTATTTTAGATTGTGTAATCAGGTGATGATTCTTTGAAAAAGTGTTTTTAAAAATAAATTATTTTTCCGCAATTTTTCATTGGTATCAGAGCCGGCCACTTTGATTGCATAAATCTATATTTTGTTTTCCATATTTGGATATTCAATATTGTCTTGCGTAATAGTTGATTATATCATTTGTGAATATATAATCTATATTTTCTTTTATTAATCACAAAAGAAAAGGGACCGAAACTGTATAAAAAATAATAAAAAAAATAAAAAAATAAAAAAAAAGACGGAATGGTTTCGCAGTTTCAAATCAGTAGGCGAAATAAATAATATATAGGTGAGGCACATGTCACAGGTTTAATATTAAAAAAAAAAAAAAAAAACAACGTACTATTTAATCGGTGATAACGGTGCACCTCAGTTTTTGTGTTTATTAGGGATCGGCCTAAAAGGCATTCACATGGTATCATTATTTTATTTTTATTATCTATTTTGCTTACTGTTGATGCATGTTCCATGTTACAAAAATTATAGAAATATGCTATGGGATTATGTAAATATTGTATACATGTTAAGTAGAACTTGTAGTATATTGTTATTTTAAATAACATGATTTATTTATATTGATGAATTTTAATTCCATGATTAAATATTCTAGCATGTTTTATTTTATGAATTATATTGAGATGTTATCATGTAGAATTAATGTTTTATCATGCTTTAGACATGCCATAGTTAGTAGGAGGTTGTTCAGTTAATAAAAATCTTTGTAGATTTTCTCTCAAAAATTATTTTCTGTTGATGGATATAACCATATTCATGATTATATATATATATATATATATATATATATTTTAATTATTAAGTGTTAAATAGGATTATTTTAAGAAAAATAATGCCTATGGCCCTCCATTGTTGGTAAATAAAAATTCTAATTAATTGATATTCAAATGATACCAAAAGGATCGGTTGTGTTTTAATTAATTAGTTTGTTTTATTTATTTTGTGAAAAGTATAAGTGTGACTAGTGGGAGTGTCGGCTAAAATGAAGGAATAATCTTACATGTTCATGCTATGTATCTAAACAATGGTTTGCACTTAGACAAATACTATATGATAACCAAAAGGTGTCATATGAGTTGATTTGGAGGCCAAAAGAAAAATTGGGAGTCATAAATAAATTTAATTTTTCTAAAAGAAAAATAAAAAATGGTAACATGAGATGATATTATGATGGGTAGTAGCTACCCACCCATTCAAGGTATGTTCACTTATTTCAAAAGAAATTTGTGTACATGCAGGATTGGTTTCCCAATGCTCACTATGAATGTTTTAAATATAAATGTTATATTTGTGGGGTTATAAATTGTTTGAATAAAAATTCTAGTGAGCATTACCATAGTAGATTCAAAATCTCGCATCCTATGGATTTATATACAATGCAATACTTATATTCTCCGGACACATGTGTTAATTTTTAACATATGCAGTTAAAAATGAACAACTTTAATCCTTTGTCCAAAATTGTGGATGATAATCGTTTGACTAGATCAAACTATGTGGACTGGAAGAGAAATTTAATAATTGTCCTCACTGCTGAAAAATTGAACCATGTCCTAACCACTGATCCACCTGCGCTTCCTGAGGCGGTTGCCACTGATGAACAACGTGAGGCTGTTAGGAAGTGGCGTGAGGCTGTTAGGAAGTGGCATGAGGCAGATGATGTTGCAAAATGCTACATATTGGCCTCAATGGCCAATGTGTTGCAAAAGCAGCATGAGGGTGTTCCTACTGCAAAAGACATGATGATTAACTTGAAAGAAATGTTTGGAGAACAAAGCAGAAGTGCACGCCAAACAGCCATAAAAGGTTTGATGTCCACTAAAATGGTGGAAGGTACTCCAGTACAGGAACATGTTCTAAAAATGATATCTTTCATTAACATACTGGAAACTTTGGGTGCAGATATTGATGGTGAAACTAAAATTGATGCGATACTTTCATCTTTACCAGATTCTTATAGTTAGTTTATTTTGAATTACAATATGAATAAGATGATTGTTGCACTATCAGAGCTGCTCAATATGTTGCAAGCAGCAGAAGATCTTATTAAAAAGTGCCAACCCACTATAACGATGGGTGAGAAGGAAAGTCCTAGAAAATTCAAGCCTAAGGGCAAGAACAATTTTAATAAGAAACCAATGGACTCCAAATTGTCACACCCCAAATCCGGGCATGACCGGCCGTGGCCCACAGGGACTTAGCCCAAGGCACACGTAAGCCTAAACATGAACCCAAAACCATAAAGAATAAATGTGATGATAGCCCAGAAATAAATAAATCAACGCTCAATCCAGTGGCATACCACAAGTGAAAAACAAGTCATAACCAACTTCCTAAAAATATATATATACTAAATGGGACACAAACCGCCCACAAAATAAAATAATTCTAAATAAAACTCAACCACAATGTATGCACAAAACTCGACAAAGCAACCTAAAATAAATTAAATAATGCCCTAGAGGTCCATGCAATTGAGTTCCCGCTACGCCATGAGTCCACTCTAAGTCCTTCTAACACCTGGAAATGGTAAACAACTAAGTCAGCTGATAGCTCAGTGAGTAGCAACATGGATAGTAAATACAATTTTGAAAACAGGGTTCAATTCCAAAATAAGATATATATCACAGAAACTAGATTGGCATACAGTTTGGTAAATACAATCTATTTCAAAAAGAAGGTTTCACAATTCAACGCTTAAAATACTCATGTCTCGCAAGAACATGATAAGCAACATTTTCCACTTAAAACAGATTATAACATGAACACCAATAATTTTCTAGGTACCAATAAAAACAAATAATCTGCCACACAGTTCTCAAGGCTATAAGCCCCGTTGGATCCAATACCGAACTAAGAGTCATCCTCAGGGTGGCACCTGGGCCTTTTCTCAAAGACGATCCGATTGAAGGTCACCTAGTTATTTTTAAAGGTCTTTTCCTTACAATCGTTGAGCACTAGAGCCATCACGGCCCAATCCGGATCTGTTCCCTAGTGGCCAGAGTCACCACACACAGTGGAATAATTTCCCTGGACTAAATACACACATGGTCCCAATAATCAATACACATCAGTTTCGCAAAATATGGTAGTTCATCATTCTAAACATGAGACCAAAACAAATAGTTTACAGTATGCCAAGTTCACACATGTTTCAGAAATAATTTGATTCCATTGATAATATAATAATTTATCAAAACAGTTTAGTCTTAAAACAATAATTTAATTTTCCAACAGTTCAGGGTAGGGGAACATTTATAAAAATACGTAGCATGAAACTACTCACCTGGAAACAAAATAATATAATCCTCGAATAGAGTATGAAAGTCCAACTAGTGCCCTTAACCAATATGAAAACTACACGTCACTACTAATTTAAAAATACTAAAGAATACGAACTAAGTAATCCCAAACTAAAGCGCACTAACACGGCTCAACCTAACTCACCGTTACTCTTAAATATTACCTAAGTTCATGTTCTTCAAGGTCTAAAATCACCCAAGACATAGGTTCCGATCGAAACTTCACTAAAAATAACTTTAAGATAAAACAGAGTTTTAAACAAGTTTTCGTAATTTATTCGCTAACTTTGAAAATTACAAAATCCACTCCACGCTTTTTGAAAAATTCCAATAACCTCCAGCTATGATCTAATATATCCTAAGTTTCAAACCCAATTGGTTTCACTTGATTTGCTTATCAAAATAATTATCTATAATTTATTATATCCAAACAGGTTGTTTTCCGCAGCACTTTAAAGAAATTGACGTTCTCTTAGTATACACGAGCAATCAACACAAGGTAAAAAATACAAGAAACTAGACTCGTAACCAGTTCTAATGACACTAATTTGATAATTTTTGGAATTATACCCAAAGAGAACAACACTCCCGAATTTACTGTTTCGGACTGGTTTCCTAGACAGATTTAAATACCTCAATTTATATGGATTTTGACTCCCAAAAATTATGAAAAAATTCAGATATACAATTCAGTATGTAATTAATCTACTGTAAAAATTCCAGATTAAAATTCATTCGTTTGATATGATTTCTTGATTTTTAAAGTTTGCTGACAGATTAATATTCTTAGGATCGACATTATGAATTCGATAAAAATTTCTAGAATACTCTCCCCATCAGCCAATCCATTCCTTTTTCTTCCACCAACTCACAACACCCACAAGCACCATAACTATGTAAACAATAATCTATAATAGAACAAGAATAAATTGATTCTTACCTTAAGTTGCTGAAAACTTCTCTCTCTCTCTCTCTCTCTCTCTCTCGGCTGCTGCTATACTCTCGTGGCTGCTGCTATATGTTGAAGGTGTAGTGCAAAGCAATTATAATTAAGGGTTAGGGTTTTTGTTAGGAAAATTAGGGTTGCTCTATATATATCTAAACAAAACTCTAAATAATTATCTAAACAAAAGGTTTTAAATTATTATCTCTTTATATTATTTTATTTTCTATCCCAATAATTTAAATAAAATACAAGTATTACTAAATCAAAATATACTAACTAATTGGTCCCCTATTATTTATTTATTTATTATAAATCTTGCCTCTAAATTAAAAACTTCCACCACAAATTTATTTTAAGTTTAAAATTAATTAAAAGATCCTCCAATAATATTTAATTTCCACCTTAGAATTCACTACCAAAATATTTGAGATTGTAATGTTATTATTTAATTATTTACTTAATTTTTTATATTCGGGTTCTCACACAAATTCTCTGAAAAAACACTAGGTGTTTTTAAAAAGGGCATAGATAAGAAGAAAAGCAAAGAAAATTGTTTCCGTTGTGGAAAGCTTGGCCATTGGAAGAGAAACTGCCGTCAGTATTTGGCAACACTGAAAAAGGACAAACCTTCAGAAGGTATATTGAATCTGTTTGTTATTGAAACCAATTTACTGATTGGTCCTCCTAAAGCTTGGTGTGTAGACTCTGGTGCGACCTCACATATTTGCAATATGTTGCAGGGGTTCAAGGAGACCAGAAGGCTTAATGAAGGGGAGATGCTAATAAAGTTGGGAACAAGTGCAACAGTTGCTGTAGTTTCCATAGGATTTTTTTTTATTTAGAATTATCATTTAATAGAACTCTAGTTTTAGAAGATTGTCTATTTATGCCAGACATCCGTAGAAATTTAATTTCTGTTTCAAAGTTATTTTCGTTGGGATATTGTTTTTCCTTTTCTTCAAAAGTTGTTATTAAGCACAATAATAAATTTGTGGTTTCTGACATTTTAATAGAAGGTCTTTACTTTATTAGTTCTATTGATAATTCCATTAATTGTGTTGAGAATGATACATCCACCGGTATGTTACCCCTTAAAAGAAAAAGGGATGTTAATCAAACTTACACATGGCACTTGAAACTCGATCATATCAATTTAGAACGTCTAAATAGATTGGTCAATGATGGACCTTTAGATTTATTTATTTTTTTGAAAATTGAGCCCTATCTAATTTGTGAGCCCTACTTGCAAGGAAAAATGTCTAAAATTCCATTTCTGGGAAAAGGAATTAGAGCCACAGAAGTTTTGGAATTAATACACACAGATGTTTGTGGTCTAATAAATCACATAGCAAGAGGTGGTTTTTACCATTTCATTACATTCACCGATGATTATTCTAGGTATGATTATTTGTACCTAATAAAACATAAGTCTGAATCCTTTGAAAAGTTCAAGGAATTTCGTAGCAACTTGGAAAAAGTATCAAAGCTCTTCGATCAAATCATGGGGAGAATACCTTTTATATAATTTTTGAAATTATTTAAAAGATAATGGTATTAAATACATGTGTAATTGGTTTTGAGTGCAAGTGGGAGAATGTTAGCATTTGTGCCTTCAAAAACCAATGTATTGACTTTATTAATTGATTATATAAATTGCTTGGCATTTTATATTTTGCATTTTGTATGTTATTATGGGTAATGTTATATTTAATGTTACATATGATGTGAACATAAAGTCCCTTGGGTAACATTGTAGAAAAACATGCTAATGGTTAATGAACCAAAAGCTGAGAGTTATGATTTTTCGGTGCCTTGTAGATCCAATTAATGTTCTAGGCTATGGGTGTTGATTGGGCGTCGCACTACGATGGCCTACACCTGTTTTGCTGCTATATGATAGAATGATTAACTCCATCATTGAGGTAGTGACTTTAAGCAAATAGGTGGGTGTAATGCAATAAGTACATGCACTGAACATGATCGGTTTTAAGAACAACTATGGAATGATCACTATCAGTTTAAAAGGTAGTTCTATTACAATACGCTTATTTTCCTTTGACCTGAGAGGCTTGTATAAATTAATTATCTATTCATTTAACTTTGACATTGTCGATCGGTGACGCCGAATTAAAGGCTATACACGGACATGTTGGGTTATGTGAGTGGTAATTAATTTATATAGGTGCTTAACATGAAATCCACCATTCTCAAGTGAGAAAGTATATTCGAGCAATTTTTCCTATTAACATTGGACCAAAAGAAAACCGGCCGGTTACTGTTTCGTAAAAATATTTTATACATATATAATTGTAAAAATACTATTTTTGAAAAATGCTTTTAGGGTCCAATTAGAAGAAGGAAAAATTTAGAATTCGGTTACATGAGTTAAGGCTTTTGATAGTGATAAATTTGTCCATACCTAATAGCTCATGTAGAATATAGTTTGGTGGAAGGAAATTTGTGATTAATTGTAAGAAAGGGCCTCACTTGTAATTCTCTACTTTTAGGGGTTTAATTGTAATGTGTTGATGGACATTATTGCAATTAGTGGAAGTTCTATATTATCTGTTTAAAAGATAATTAATGAAAAATTGGATAAGTTGTATCCTGTATATTTAAAATAAAAGATGCATCTTTTATTTTATCCCCACAACTAAAGGATAGAGATCCCTAAGGATCCCACCTACATGCAAACTCTATTATGTGTTATATATATATATATCAGATATATTTGATACAAAAATTGGCCATCAGAATTTTAAGGTCTGTAGAAAATATATACACAAAAATAAATCAAAGAGAGTGCAAGGTGAATCACTTTGGAGGCGAGACACTTGGATCGCTTGGTGAGGTATTATCAACAACTCACTTGGAGAAGGTATTTTAGATTATGTAATCAAGTAGTAATTCTTTGAAAAAGTGTTTTTAAAAATAAATTATTTTTCCGTAATCTTTCAGTTTGGACAAGTGGATTTAAATTAAAGGGATTTGATGTTAATAAACCTTTATATAGAATTGTAAGAAGTGAAATATTAGATAGCTAAAAGAATTACTCTGAAAAATATATACTCCATTCATTTTGAATATGGTTCATAAATTAGTATATGTATCGGACATCTCACTTTTGGGATAAACTTCGAAATTAAAATTTCGAATAAATAGCATTTCTTTGTAAAATTTTGTTAATATTCTAGTGCAACTAAAATCGGTCATAAAATTTTTTTAATTATTTTTCACCATGTTGAAGCATTGAAATTTATTTTTGAAATCTAGTAGATTATTACGTTGACTTACTAATGATGTCAAATTCAATGTAATAAAGACTATACTCATTTGAATGCGAGGTAAAGATGTAAAAAACAAAAAACAAAATTATACAAAAAAAAATATATATAACAGATTTGTATTTAATTTATTTTCCAAACCAAGAAACTCATAAAGGGATTTATTATTTTAAAAATAGAAAATGTTTAAGACCCCTTTTGGAATGACCCCACAACCCCAAAGTGATCCTCATCTTTCATGAATGTGTAGGGTCCACTCATGTATGTCTGGAATCCACATCATGAATGATTCAGATTTGTGACAGTCTTGTGAGGTATGAATCTCAATCATTGCTCTTTGAAAATATCACTAACTTATCATCTATTGTAATTTTCTCTATAAAATTCATTTTTCTTAAACAAATGATGTCAAATTCATTCATTTTAAATCAATAAATCCAAATGCAATGTATGAATTTTTGTGTTTTAGTAATTTTTTGAAAATATGAAAAGCAGTTATATAAAACACAAGAACATGAGTTCTTGTATTTTAGTGTTGGTGGACAAATAGGTTTGAAAACAAATTGAGTTGAGTAGTTGATTGTTCAAACTTAATTTGATAATTAAACGAAAAATTATGTTCAAGCTTAATTTGTTCATATAATGAGTCAATTTCGAACTAATTGTTAACGAGTCGAACACGAGTTGAGCTCAAGTAATTTAATTTTTATAAGTAACTTATCGAATAAAACTTGAATTAAAAACTTAAGGGGTATTAATTATGTTTTAATTTAATTTGTTTCCATAGTGCGTGTAACTAACTTCATTTTGACCAATTCCCGGGTTTTGTAACGGCTCAACATGTTTCGTCCGCCATCGTCTCCGACTTCAAGCACCAGCAAGCACATCTCTTGACCAATCTCCACATCCAGCAATCAATCAGGTTTTTTTTCCCCCAATCAAACCCTAATTTTCTCGCTTTTTCTCTCACTTTCTTCCGTTTTCTCTCACAATCCCATTATCTGATGGTTTTCGTTGCCTAAGAACTCTACACCAAAGCGGGAAAAAAAAAATGGAGATATCGCATCCGCAAGCCTCATTCTCTTCAAGCAAAGGAGACTCCACAGATTTCGAAGCCGAACTCCCGCTCAGTGACAGGCTCAAAGCCTTCAAATCCTCTAATTTCGATCCCGAAGGCTATGTCACCAATAAATGCCGTGCCATGAGCGAAAAGGTTACCTCTATAATCTCTCTCTCTCTATATATATATATATACGAACTATGATATATATGCATGCATTGATTGTGGATTGGAGACATCATATTTGATAATGCCGATTCGAAAATTTGTGAAAAGTTGAGCTTGAGCACTGGATTTGAAGTATCACTATTTTTGTAATTGCTCATATGATAATAATGTTGTGAAATTTTATTGTAAGAATGCTTTTGCGAATCCAGAGAACAGTCTAATGAACTTTATTTTATCTTTTGATGTGTTTTAATTTAAGTGCGAAGGTATGTACCTAATGTCAACTGAGAAAAACCTCACACTACTCATTATTATACTCAATTAAAAGGTATATCAAAACCCATTAAGCATTCAAAACAGTGTTTTTTTTTTTTTTTTTAAATTTTATTCCATTGATTGTGAAAATGAGTTTAATAAATTTGTGTATGATTGACAGGAAATTAGGCACTTGTGCTCATGCCTTGTGGATTTGAAGAAGGCATCGGCTGAGGAGATGCGCAAAAGTGTGTATGCTAATTATTCAGCTTTTATTCGGTGAGCATTATTTCCAGAGTAGTAACAGATAACTCTCCTATTAACATGTTCTCGCTTAGTATTTCCTTATGCTTGTTATTTTCATTTTTTTAAATGTTTATTGGTATTTCCTCTTCTAATTATTCAATTTTCCAATTGACTTCTTTGTCAACAGTCGTTAGAAACACTTTATTGGAGTTTGATAATAACCCTAGATTGGTCTTGAAGTTGATTGTGACATTTATCTCCTTTTTATATTTATTTCATATTTCATTTTGTAATTATTTTGTGTACTTGATCTCTGTAAATACCCACCACATGCCAGATTTAACACTAAGCATTGAAGACAAGGTCTTCATAGTAAATATTGAAAACCTATTATAAAAATGGAATTGAAAAGCTGTTGTGGCAACTGTAAGCATACCTGTAGTACATATATTTGGAACCAAGTGTGTATCCTAAGGTGGGTTTTGCCAATTGCTTTTTTAGTTGTTTTTTGCTTTTTTTAAGAATCTATAAAAGTTGATATGTTTTGTAATTGCTAAAAAAAAGCTTTTTTTGTTAGTGGGAAAGTTTTTTTTAGTTATTTTTTTAGCCAAAAACAAACAAACTTTTGCTTTTTAACTTATATAGCCAAAAAGCAGTTTATTTAGCCGAAGCCGAATGGGGATTAAGTTCAAGCATCTTGCCTTGGCGTAGTAGTAAGGTTTCTCCATTGTGACCTGAGAGCATCACAGGTTCAAAATATGGAAACATTTGACTCTTCTCATACCCCCGCAGTGGGTGGGAGCCTCGTGCACTGGAACTGCCCTTTTTATCTTGTGTCATGGCTAAGGATATGAGTTGTCTTGAAATGCTATGAATTCTCACCTTTGATTTTGTCATGATTAGAAGGATCGATGTCTCTAATTGGCAACTGAGGATGCAACTCTTATGAATCAGTAATTATTAATGCTACTAATTATTTGCATATGCAGTACATCTAAGGAGATTTCTGATCTTGAAGGCCAGCTCCTTTCCTTGAGAAATCTTCTATCTAGTCAGGCAGCTCTTGTTCATGGTTTAGCTGAAGGAGTTCGTCTTGAATCCTTGTCCGCTGGTTCTGAAGGTTCAATGACAGAGGACGTATTTGATTTCGAAGACAGAGAACCTTCGAAGATAGAAAAATGGTTAGCACAATTTTTAGAGAACCTTGAAGTTTTACTGGCCGAGAGGAGAGTAGACGAAGCTCTTGCCACCCTAGATGAAGGAGAACGTATAGCAAAGGAAGCAAATCAACAGCAGACATTGACTCCATCTACACTCTTATCATTGAAGACTATTATCACAGAACAAAGACAAAGATTAGCCGATCGACTTGCAGAGGCTGCTTGCCAGCCTTCTACTCGTAGTGTTGAGCTTCGTTCAGCTGTTCAAGCCCTTAAACAACTCGGGGATGGTCCACGGGCTCATAACTTGTTACTCAAATCTCATCACCAGAAATTGCAGTACAATATGCAAGGTCTTCGCCCATCTGGCACTTCGGATGGAGGGGCATACACTGCTGCCCTTTCACAACTTGTGTTTTCAACCATTGCACAAGCGGCAAGTGATTCTTTGGCAGTTTTTGGGGATGAACCGGCATATGCATCTGAGCTAGTGACTTGGGCTGTCAAGCAGACTGAGGCTTTCTCTCTTCTCGTGAAGAGACATGTTTTGGCATCTTCAGCAGCTGCGGGGAGTCTAAGGGTTGTTGCCGAGTGTGTTCAAATATGCTTGGGACACTGTTCCTTGTTAGAATCACGTGGATTGGCTCTTTCGCCTGTCCTCTTGAGACTCTTTAGGCCTTGTGTCGAACAAGCATTGAGTGCTAACTTGAAAAGAATTGAACAGAGCACAGCTGCATTTGCTGCTGCAGATGATTGGTTACTTGCCTATCCACCGGTTGGTGGACGACATATGAGTACTGCATCTCTTGGTAGTGTGATTGCATCACAACCAAAGCTTTCAAGCAGTGCTCACAGATTCAATTCAATGGCTCAGGTGATAAGCTTTTTTCCCTCTTTAAAATGTCACAACTCAAAGGACTCATTTATTATTTCAGTCTTTGTTCTCATTTAAACAATACTTGTTCTTTTTTACATGCAAGAAGCTGGATTATGTTTCTTCTGTAAATTATTTTGGTTCTGAAAACAAAAGTTTCTTGGCTTATTAAGCCTGGTTACAACTATGAAGTTATACACAGAATGAGTAGCACTGAATTAGTTCACAACTAAGATGCACGGAAATGGACATGGACACAGACATGCGACTTGCCAATCCAGATAATTTCAGAAATGCAGGACACGACACGTTGGTCAAATTTATAATTAGTTTTAGGGAGTCTAAGCGATGGACACACATGTCCTTCAAGTGTTTGTGTCTTTGTTTTTTTTTTTTTTGTTAGTAAGGACACATTTGGACAAGTGTTGGACACATATTGGAAAGTGGCCGACAAGGACACGACAGGGCACGCCACCTTTTTATTAGTGTCCATGCTTCTTAGGTTTACAACATTGCAATAAATCATCTTTCAATCACCTTTCTGTATGTTGCATCTTCAAGCTTTTTACTCCATCAATTACATCAAGTCCACGATGCTTTTTTCAGGAAATCTGTGAGGATGTTGGGCCTCTTGAGAGCTTGCAATTTGCCGACCACGCATTAGAAGGTCTAGTACAAGGTTTCAGCTCATATGTCAATATGCTCATAAAGGCATTGCCAGGTTCAATGGAGACTGAGAACTTGGAAGGGTCCGAGAGTAGAATCGTTAGAATGGCAGAGACCGAGGCCCAACAAATAGCTCTACTAGTCAATGCATTACTGTTAGCGGATGAGTTGCTCCCACGTGCTGCTACGAAGCTGTCACCATTCAACCATAGTAGTAGAATTGATGAGCCCCCTCGGAGAAGTTCAGAGAGGCAAACCCGTGCTGCTCCAGAGCAAAGGGAATTGAAGAGGCGGCTTCAACGTTTCGTAGAACAGTTGAGAGATAGCTTCTGTCGACAACATGCCCTTGAGCTCATCTTCACAGAAGATGGTGCCGTACGTCTGAGTGCAGAGATGTATATAGGCATGGATGGAAGTGCAGATGAGCCGGAGTGGTTTCCTTCTCCGATATATCAGGTACTGTACTTGTGGGGATGTCAAATTTGACATGGATGATGAATAACTTGCTAGCTTTTGAACAAACACAAAATGTTGAGAATTACAACCATGACATAAAATGAACTCAGACATGGATATCTGTGCTGAAAATGATGCCCGACTTCCATCAGCATTGGGCAAACCACAAACAAAATTGTGTATTCTGTAGCCTTGCTAGTTTATGTTGTCATAGTTTCGTAATAATTGCATTATCATGACCTTGTCTCATAGGCATTGAATCAAATAAATATGCCTTCATAATTGTTCCAATATGGTGGTAACATGAATTTTAATCTTCTAGTATTTAAGTTAATCTGATCTTGATTCTTGCACTAGGTGCTGGTGTTTCCATTCTTTTAAGAAAATGTTTCCAGCTACAATATATTCTTCTATTCTTTCAATTACGGTTCCTCAAGTCTGTCATTGCTAACTAGTATCTGTCTGCTGCTATCATCATTTAGAACGGTGGACGTTAATTTCCAGTTGAACTTTTGCATCTTTATGTCCCAGTTTCCCTTCATATTTTACTGCAGATTAGGCCCCATCTTGCCTATTGTATACATGTCAATCCAAGTTGTGCTGCTTTTATGCACTGCACATGCCTCTTTGTTGCAAAATACTTGCATTTGCATGCTAATATTGAGTGGTTGATCATCAACTGTATATCCATTCAGGAACTTTTTGCAAAGCTGACTCGGATTGCAAGCATTGCATCAGACATGTTTGTGGGAAGGGAAAGGTTTGCGACAATATTATTGATGAGACTTACAGAGACTGTCATCTTGTGGCTCTCTGATGACCAAACCTTTTGGGAAGAGATTGAAGAGGGACCAAGGCCTCTGGGCCCTCTAGGCCTTCAACAGGTTTTTCGTTTTGTTTTGTTTTCATTTTTATTTTATTTATTTTGGGAGGAAAAAAAAAGGTGACTGAGGTTTTGCCTGATTGTTTTGCAGTTCTATTTGGACATGGAGTTTGTGATACTCTTTTCATCCCAAGGCCGTTACTTATCTCGAAATCTTCATCAAGTTATCAAAAATATCATAGGTAGAGCTATTGAATCAGTTGCTGCAACTGGAATAGATCCTTACAGGTATGGTATGCCTAGTTGGGTAAAAAGTAGGGACAAATTCAGTTTATCCCCTTATATGGTTTGGCTTATGTGCACATAATCTCCTATTATTTGAAAAAAAGCACATCACCACCGATGATTTGTGGACTAAAACTGTCAGATCCGCTAACAACTTAAGCGTAAAAACTAAAATATCATTTTACAAAAGTAACCTCATTGTGCAAAACCACGAACATTTTTTATCATTTTTTGCAAGGCCAAATTCATTTTTGCTCCATGTGTGATTTGCCCTTGACATTTAGAAATGAGGATATAGTACCCTTGTGTCCTAGCACGTGTTACACACATGCTATTAACTTGGATAGAATGTTTGACGATGCACTTTAGTCCACAAAACAGAAAGGATTTATGTACTTATTTCTAAATGATGGGTAAATTGCAGATAAAGTAAACCATAGAGGGTAAAGTGAAGTTTGTCCGAAAAAGAAATTCATGATTAAGGTCCTTAAAACTCAGTTTCACTTTGTAGCCATAATGCATGGATTTATAGGATATATCAAGAATTCTTGACTGGGCCTTGTATCAATTTGAACATGTACTGATACTTTCATTATTGCAGTGTTTTGCCAGAGGATGACTGGTTTGCTGATGTTGCTCAAATAGCAATAAAGATGTTGACAGGAAAGGCCAATTTTGGCAATGTAGATCAAGACATTACCAGCCCCACTGCATCTGTATCTGCAAGATCTACCCTATCTCATGGAAGCAACTAGTTTTTGTGTATCACCACTGTGGGCATGTTATAGGGAAAGGGCCAGGTATTTGTCCATATCTTTCTGGATCCTCTGTACCCAAAATTTTATGTTACTGTGTACCGAATGCATTCTGCGTCATACAATATGATATAAATCTCAAAATACAGGAATCTAGCGGCATGATCATTCTGCTAAGAGTGCATTTGGTATAGGGAAACATGAATTTTGGATAGAGAGGATCCCATGTCAGTATATGAAAATCAAGAGATCTGCACTTTATGATATTCCTCTGAAACTAACTCAAGCACACTTGCCTGTAAGCATTGTAAATTTGAAAACTTCTATTCACAACTCCCTAGTAGGATGTTTTAATGGGCCTAAATATTGTACCATTTGGATGTTTCTAACCATATCCAATTTTTGGTGCTTGTGACATCCCATGAAATTGAAGCAGTCAATTTTTGGTTTGTCTAGGTAGATTAGGTAACCATGTAAATAGAATATAGCTATTTCAAGATCTGTCTGCTTTGTTATTTACTGCTTTTATATTGAACAACAAGGTGGAGTGCTTTTGATTTGTAACAGTTTTCAGTAAGCTGCCTCAGAAGTTTGATTAATTTGCCCTTTAGTTATATCTTTCATAACTGAACCACATTCACGTTGTTTCCTTTGTGATTTGTTCATAAAATGCATGGATGAGAGAGACACAGATTACATTGGAAGGCCTATGTATTTGATGGATTGGCCAAATTCAGTTGACAAAACTCTTGTATTAGTTGAGTCATTTCTTGTATCATGTTTGTAATGTATGTTCTAACGTTTAATTGTAAAAGCTTAACAAATCAATCAGATGAGCAGAGGCTTGAGCGGGTTTAGAGGCTGCTCGAGCAGAGAATGGAATTTCATAATGAAGATTGAAAATCAGTGTTGATTGCCCCCCAAGTCACTAGATGTTCGCTCAAGCGCATGCACTATAGCATTATTACTGTCCATTGTAGTGCAACAGAGTGTAGAATTACCATTCACTCGAGAATAGTTAATGGAACTCAAATGAGTTACTTAGCGCTCGACTAGAGTTCAATATTTCAGGTATACAAGCAGAGTACAAATGTTCTTCACTTAATAACTCACTTGAAGCTGCTCAAGAATACTGTATTGTATTGTGATACTGATTTGTTTTTTATTCAAAAGCCAAAATTCTCAAAATGATGGACCTCTCTGATCATTCTTTGAATACTATGAGAAGAATCGAAAGAGAGAAGAAAATGGCTTACAAAGCCACACTGAGACGGACAAATATGAATCTGGTAGACAAAGCGGCAAAAGGAGAGATGGAAATTCACTCAGCATTTGAATGTTTGATACAAGTATGGAACAGTTTGAGTCCAAAGTCTGGAGAGACATTTTATTAATAGGTGCAAAATTTTACAGGTTGCACATAGTTATTTGGAATTTTGTGTAACGGGTACACCATCGAGTGTACCCTTTCTCTCACAAACATGTGGGTATATATGATACTTTCACCACTTTGAAGACTAGAAAGCTGAGCTGAAGAGTTTATATATAAGAGGTAGTGGGGAAGTCTCAACAAGCTTGAGAGGGATTCATCAAAAGATAGCTTTCACAACACTCTCTCACCTGATAGCGTCTCAAGTCTTGGCATATCCTCTTCAAAAACTGCATAAAAATCATCTTGTAAAAGAGTTGCTCTTCGATATTATTTCCAAACCACCTCAGCAACATTTGTAATAGTGTATAGGTTAGTTACATTGCTTCATAGACAGTAAGAGCTGAAACTGATTTAAAATCTGATTCGCATAGATTTTCCATTGTAATTGCACAATTAAATTTGCCATAATAAATATTAAATGAGTGAGAGGTTTAAAGACAGGGTTGTCATAGCATGTAAAAAAGGTAATGAAAACAGACTCTTTCTCCTTGTCTAAGACCTGTACAATTTGTTTAATGGTGTGTTGCACAGTGGCAGTCGCAAGCGAATCCTCGTATTAATTATTGGGGTATACTTAAAGTCAAGAATGAGAAAAATAGATGATGTCTCAAAGGCTTCTATAAAAATTAGCCATTATTAAATATTAATATCAAGCCTTACATTTGTTATGACTTTATTCAAGGGACTCTTGACTCAGTTGCTGATAGTTCATGTAATCAATCCCATTTAACCGTATACAACATAAGATCTGCTCCGGCAACTCTTCAGCTTTGTTCCTCTGATTTACAGTGAATATAAAATTTAATATTAGTAAGAGCTTGAAAAACCCAAAATGATTTTATTTCCAGAAAAGTAAAGAGAAGAGGAAGGAAGCCACTTGGGCACTGAAAAATGCTTGCCTGAATTGTGAGGCCAAAATCCAAGATGCAGATCTTCAATCTACCAAGAAATGCTTCAAACCCTTTCCTAGAGATGTAACTGAATCTATGCATATCCAAATCAATCTCGAGATAGTTTTCTCCCTGAAGAAAATTCATAGTAATGTCATGTCACTAAGAATGAAAAGTAGTTTTTAGAATTTTCTAGAATTATTCTCAAAATCCAACACCATTCAGCTCGTTCATAAAGCAGTCAGCAATAAGGGTAAATTACACAGTTAGTTTTTTTTATTGAAGTGAAGTATCACATTGGCCCTTACACTTTCAATTTTGTGTCAATGTGGTCCCTACACTTTAGATTTTGTTGCAATGTGGACTCTCCATCACTTAGGGTTAGAATTTGAAACAGAAAAAAGACCATGTGTAAAATTAGAGGGATCAAAGTGAAATTCAAAACAAACTGTAGGGTCCACCGGTGTAAAATATTCAGTACACCTATTGTCCTTATAGTTTGTTTTGAATTCCACTTCGGTCCCTCTAGTTTTGCACGTGATTTTTTTTCCATTCAAAATGTTAACAATGCATGACGGAGGAACCAAATTGCAACAAAATTGAAAGTGTAGGGACCAAATTGTTTAAATTGAAACTACGATGACCAAAGTGAAATTTCGCTCAAACTAGTAAGACCAGTGGTGTAATTTACCCCAAAAATAAATAAGAGTATCAACAAGGAAAACAAATATGGAAGATGATATACTATCAATCTCAACTGAAAAGGAGGAAAATAGGAAGTCATATGAAACAAATATAATGAATTGGAATTTTTAATGTTGAGGAAAATTCTTTCTGAACTTACCAAGAAGAATTCATGTTGCGGACGTGAAAGAACAGGTTTTTCATTGTAAGCATGCATAAGCTTCCTCTCCGCTCCACTTAAATGAAGGTCATCCACATTCACTACACGACCCAATATCTTCAACCTTTCCCGGAAGGGTACAGTTGAATCTACTGGGAAACCTTTGACTTTTTCTACTTCATCATCCACTAACCTCTGTTTCAGAAAGAAGAAAATGGACATGAACTCATTAGAAATGGCAGTTCGAAACACATCAATAACAGGAAACCTAAAATGTCATATAAAAATTGAAAACGGGAAAGACATAAAGAATCTTATAAAATGTCAGATAGAAAAATCATCATAAAAGAAATGCTATCAAGAAATTAAGAACATTCCATTTACAACAAGAATTTCCAAAGGAATCACAAGATCTGTTCATGGCATCATTGCTACGGATAAAAAGATGAGCAGCATGAGTGCTCAGCTCAATACAGGAATCACACATGTACAAAGCAAAAGCACTAAAACACAAATAAATAAAGACCCAACTTACGCTGATATTTTCTTGTAAACGGTATGGAAGCTCCTTAGAATAACTTTCCGAAAGCTTAAAGTATAAAACGATACTCATTCCTTCCCCATCATTTTCACTCTGGAAAAGAGAAGCAGGGTAAAGTGGAATCTGTAGGACCCACCAAAAGTAACAATTCAGTATCAAAATCTGAGAGGAAAGTAGTAAGAACAAAAGAAGACAATTCTAATCTCACAAAAATGAACTGTTGATATTAAAAGTTACACATTAAATGTTCAGAAGGCTCAACCCATACATTTAGCAATATCATTCAAGACTAATGCATACGGTAATACAGCAGAACTAGACTTTAAAAAAATAATGCATTAATTTGGAAGGCAGCACCATTTACATAGTATGAGGAAGAGTCAGCTGGAGATGATCTTGTTGGCAATATATCAATGACAAGGCTGAAGTTGGAGGTGTCAAATGGGTAACAAGATGACCAGAAAAGTGAGGTCAAGTCTGTGACTGACCCAAATAAGCATTAGGACTGTTTGAATTGTGCTTCTATGCCTCTTGGGTTACAATCCCTCATTATATTTTCAAAGATTGTACATTAACTCCGGATACACACTTCAATCTCTCAGAGGAATACAAAATTTGTATATAAAAGAAATAAGCAAATATAGGAGGATAGTTCTCTTCAACATATGAATGAAACAATTCAATATCTCAATCAAAGTAAAAATGAAACCAGCAGGACGGGGGGTTGAAAGCTTCTCTCTCTTCCATGAAGAAGAAGGCCAAATCAATGTCTATCCTTTGCCTATGAGAACCCCTGGTGTGTTCCAAACCTTTGCGTTCCATTGTTTATCTTTTAGGATAAATCTTACCCTTGTGCTTTATTTTTTGTCTGTTAGGATGCACCATCATCCTGATTTTTTATCTTCTTCTCAGACTTTCTAAACCAGAGTACTTTCTGTAGATCCTATTGTGGCTAAGTGTGCTTAGCTTGGCAGTTTGGTGTGGTTAGAGTGCAGAATATTTTGTCCTTATACTTTTCTCCATTCTTTTCCTGTTCTACGGTGATGGGTTGCTTCTTGAAGCATTGTGCCATGCATGGCACCATTGTAGTTCAGAGAGGTGCTTCAGTGGGAAGGGAAATGATGACTATGGTGGGATACAAGTACGACACTATGCTCAATTGGGTATCAGATGCTGCTGGGCTAGGTAGGTGTATGCTATAGAGGGAGTGTTTTCTTCAGTTTTTGGTAACAAAATGATTGGTTACTTCCCAACACACACACACACACACACACACACAAAAAAAAAAAAAAAAAAAAAAAAAAAAAAAAAAA